CCCGGGCAACAGAGTGAGACTCTGTCTCAAAAAAAAAATAAAATAAAATAAAATTGTAATACCAATGATGATAGCTAGTTAGTAGATCACAAAAGAACATAAATGAAGTCAAACCTTATCATGGCATTAAACTCCAAAAACAAGGACTATGTAATAGACTTATCTCTGTGTGCCATTAGCACAGTATCTTACAAACAGTAGGTGCTTAATATTTTTTATTGGTTGCTCTCTAATCTCATTCTATCTTTAGTGACAGTAATGACATATCAGTATAAAAATTTCCATTTCTTCCCATTTGTTAATATTAAACTTATTTTCTTAGCAGTTTTCCCTTTTCTTCCATTCTATCTTCTGACCTAATGCAAGAAAACTTTTCTCAGTTCTTCTTATTCTCAACATCAATCAAAGGTTTGTTGTTTTTACTTCAATATTGAAATTACAGTCAGTAAGGCTAGACCTAGCTAGGAGAAAATTAATGATGTGTATGTGTGTTTCAAGGTTTTGCTATTTTTATTCAAACTAAAAATAACCACCACTCCAAATGGGAGAAAAATTATATCTATTAATGATGAAAAATTGATTCCAACCTCTTGACACATAAACACAAGCGTGAGGATTACGGATGGAAACAAATCCGTATTCCAGGAGCAGTTGATGGTTATCATGGTGGCCATAGCAGATGAATACCTCTTCGTGTTTTCTCCAACTTGAAGCAGTTCTGAGTTCATAACAGCGAGTTTCCTCATTAAATGCTGCTTTCACCTAGAAAGGAAAATTATTAAAGGTTTTTTTTAAAGTAAAGCATAAAACTACAAGGCTGATTAAGTTTTTGTATTAACATAAGTCAGGTGCAGCTTTCAAACACACATCAGTGAATTTAACTGCATGTGGGAGAGATGCCACTTCTATGACTCAGCCCGCTTCCTTCACCTCAACTTCACCACCCCACTGGCGAGGGAGGGAGCCCTGCCCTGGGGTTCTGGGGATGGCCACACACACGACGCCCAGCACTGGACAGGTGAGACCCACAGCAGTTTATCAGTCACATACACTCACAGCCTGTGGGAGGAGGACATGGCAGTGCCAACCACCTTTATCTGTAAAGATCCAGAGAGTAAACAGTTTAGGCTTTGAGAGCCCTGTGTGGTCTCTGTTGCAAGCTGTTGTATTTTTACAATCCTTTAAAACTGTAAAAACCATTCTTAGCCCAGGGATCGTAGGCCACATGTCCACAGTATGTAGTTTGTGGTCTCCTACAGCAGACTATAAGATCACTGGTTTGGCACATAAATGCACCAAAAGCCCCAACAAAAATAAATTTTAAAAAACATATCCCTGATATTATTTCATCAACACCAACCACTCATTGATGAGAAATACTCATCTAACCTTAGGCTCCTTTGCTCCAGATTGCTAAAAATACATCTTTCTACAAAAACTAACAAGCAGACAGACCAGGCGATTGTCCCAGGCCTAAGAAAGCATAGCAGGACCTGCCTAAGCTCTCTTCTCCCTGGCACATGGGCTGACAAGGCTTCATCACTCTTCGCACAGTGGCATGTCATGTGAAGGGGACAGCCATGACCCAGATCCCAGCCATGTGCCTCCACAGCGCACCCCAGATGGGTTACAGGTGAGCTGACAGATGGACTCCCCTCTGCCCTCCACGCCAGGCCTCCACCACAGCGTGCCCTGAAAATACACATTTCCTGCCTGAGCCACGTGGGAAAGGGCTGGGGAAGAGGAGATCTGTGACCCTCTCCCACATCAGGATCCTTCTGTGACTCCCAAGACCCCTTTCCCCACAAACATCCATCCATTCAGTAAACATTTACTCAACACCTGCTATGTGCCAGGCCCTGCCATGTGCACTGGGGTGACAGAGAGGAACAAGACAAAGTCCTCATTCCCAAAGATTTCAGAGCTCAGTGGAGGAAGAAGCAAGTCAATCAGTGATCAAAGCAAAGATAAATGCTCTGGCAGCTATGCCACCAAGCACAAAAGGGACAGGACAGGAAAGGAAAGCAAGCTAGACTTCAGTCTCAGTCTGGAAGGAGGGAGGAGGGAGACGGGAGGAAGGGAGGAAGTCTCTGCACCATGAGTCGCTGGTACTGACAGCACAGGAGATGCAGCATGAGCCTCTGTGGGCCTGGAAAGCAGAGTAGAGAAACAGGGCAAAGGAAAAGCATTGCAGGAGGGACAAGAGGTCAGGAAGAAAGCCAGGAGCACACCTGATGACAGGTGGCCTTAACAGGTTTACCTGAAGCCAGCTACACCTTTCCCTAGGGTTTTGCCCACCATCCAAAGTCACCGGTTCTACATGTTGGAATCCTTCCTATCAAAACAGAACATGTGTTCCCTTGTCAGCACCTCACCTGGACATTTGAGCTGTGATTCAGCAGATCCAGGTATGGAGCGAGCGCACAGGTGTCCGGCTCTGCAGAAAGGCATTCCTGCCGCCTGGGCCTCAGGTACACAGCCCTGGTGTTGACGGTGCACCACGCCCACAGGAGGGCGCTGTAGCTGAAGATGCTGTCAACAGCCTCCCCAAACAGAGGCTGCAGGGAAGAGAAAAAGTCTCTGGAGGAAGCAAAGAACTCCTGCACACGGACTCTCTGCTCTTCAGCCTTTGCTTTTAAAGGTTTGGGAAGAAGATTCACCACTTCCGGTTCTAAACAAACAGGGCAGGTGTAGGCCTTGGGTAAAATATCCAGGTACGGCTTCCAGGGAGACTGGTCCCCAGCATGCTTTTCTGACACTAAAAAGGTGCACAGAGCCAGCAGAGGAGACGGAGGAGGCTTCCACCTTTTAAAATTAAAAGCCAGTTTAAAGGAATTACTTTTATTCAAAATATGAAATAAGCTAAGTGGTTTGTTCTGCTGCCAGAGGGAGTGTGTTCATACTGTCAACATGCTCTAAATTTACCTAATGGACCCAAGAGAGTTCTTTTCTTCCTTCCAGGCTTTTCCTGTGCAGAGCACACCCCCAATACAAGCGCTCTGAACAAGCCAAGTTCATGTATCAGAAAAACTGACTCACTAACCCAAGTTCCAGGTTTGTTTGCAAGAGATTCCTATCTGCAGAAAACCTCTTTGCTTCCAGCTTGGTTCTCCAGTTTGAAAGCTTTTGCCATAGTCCATTTGTTTCACCTGAGTAAGGATATAAAATATGGTAGGGAGAAAAAACTGGTAGAAAGAACCTAGAACTGCACCATAGAATATAGTAACCACAGGTACATGGAGCTATTTAAACTTACATTTTAATATTTAGAATTAAATAATATTTAAAATGCAATTCCTCAGTCAGACAAACCACATTTCAAGTGCTCAGTAGCCACTTGTGGCTAGTGGCTACCACGTTGGACAACGCAGAGTAAAACGTCTCTGTCATTGCTGAAAGTTCTATTGCGTGGCACTAACCTAGACCAAAAGCTAAATATGCTCATTACATAATTTATATAATTCTAAAGCTTTTATTCCTAAATTTACCTGCTCTATTAAAAATTACTGATCATAGTATTTTATTCGTTTTTCATAATGACCAATAAAAAGATCTCACGTTGTATGAACATATATAGAAAAAGTTTTCATTAATCCTTCCAAGTCCAGATTCCTATATTGCCATACATTCTATTCAAAATCTCAGAAGGATTCCGAAAATGTTAAATACTAAGAGCATCCTTGCCTCTGCTCAGGCCTATGAAGATGCACTAGCCCTCTTCTGAAAACACGCCAGGGGGAAAAAAGTCCAGAACTTACCTTGGGTTAAAAAACAGTATAATCTTTCAACCCTCATGATTTAGAAATCCCTTCTGCCGAGGATCTCACTCTCTCTGTCCTCAGATATGCCCCAAAGCAAAGGCCCACCATAACATGAGCCAGAAGTAATTCTCAACCCCCTCTCTTCAACACCAAACTCCTTCATAATGTCAACAGCTCTTCATAATTAAAGACTTCAAGTAAGTACAATAAGGGTAAAAATAACAGAGCAACATTTGTCAAGACCTACTACGATGGAGAACAGGCTACTGTGAGTCAAGGCACTCAGCTGTGATTTATATATATTATCCCATTTAATCTTCATTTTCCAGAAAGTGATATAGATCAGGATTCACACCCACATCCCAGGCAGCCTATTAAAAACCTTAAACATGCAGATTAAAATGAATTAAGAACAAACTTCCCAGAACAGAGTAAACCTTTCAAATCATTTCAGGTATTTATCAGCTATAAAAAGGGGCTGGGTCCTAATGAACTATGCCTTAGATGACATATTTCCCAATGACAGACACTTTCAAGAAGCACTGTACCAGGTAAGCATGCATGTGGTCACTTACTTAGTAATGTACGCCCCTAAGTAGCTTTGAATCACCGTGTCCGTGGTAAGCAGGCAGCTCTCAGGCAACGAAATAATCATCTGTCCCTCCTTGCCAAAAAGAAAGTAAAGTTTAGGACGCTCATGCTTTGGGAAGGACCAGTGAGTATGAATCTTGCAAATCCTCGATCCCACAATCATTTACCAAGAACCCACTATAATCCAACCACAAGCCACCAGTGAGCCCACCAATGGACTCACTTCCAACTCCCTGAGTCTGCAGATACAGACAAGGCTGCTCCAATGCCAGGTACCACAACCCCAGCAAGAATTGAAGGTTAGTTATGTGACTGACACCCACCATCAGTCAACCTCTCACCAGAAAAAAATGTGAAAATATTTTGACAACTCAAATCATATTGTTCCTCCGTTTTCTTTGCCAGGAAATCATGCTAACAATTGGAAACAGGCAGAAACCACTCCAAATCCATCCAGTGAAATCCAAGTGACCGGCAATGGTCTGCTCTCTACATAACCTGTGCCAACTAGATAAAGAAAAGGCAACCTACCCAGCACAACCAGGATCTAATCTAACTGAGCAAAAGTACAGTTTTCAGTTTCTCCCACTGAGCTAGAACCATAGAAAGAACAATCAAGATGTAAAGTAATAGACACCAGAAAGAAAGCACTAAGAAGCCAGATGTGAGATCCTGCTTTCATTTTTAACTGGCATCTACGTTGGTTAAAAATCCCCAGCCAGAAACCTTCCAGGATCGATTTCTGGTTTCCTCATCTGTAACACAAGATTAAGCTGGGTGATCGCTACTGGTCCTTCCCATTCCAGCATCCTATGACTTTCTGATTAAAAAAAAAATGGGGGTATATTTATTTATCATCGAAATGCAACCCATACACTTAAGATCTATGCATTTCACTATATATGAAATATCTCTCAATTCTCAAAAATTGCAATAAAAAAGCCACGCTTTTTACGTGGGATGCGACTGCCAATTATCATTCCATGATCTAAACAAAACTACCTGTAGTTACTGCTGTATACATGAGAGATGTATTTCTCCTCCCCAAATTCAGCTACAGAATAAAGTCATCACACCTTTCTCAAAAAATAAAAACACTGCACAATAATATGAATGTAGTTAACACTACTGAACTGAATACTTAAAAATGGTTAAGATGGTAGATTTTATGTTACATGTATATCTTACCACAATTAAAAATTTAAAAATAATAAAAACGGCATATTAGAATTACAGTATTAAAAGGCACCATTCTTTAGGCTAAACCCTAAATGTAGGGTTGTACATTTGTATTTGTATGTACATAGCTGAGTTTAAAATAAATTTAAAAATTAAGCCTGAACAAGAGCAAGACCTCAACTCTACAAAAAAATAGAAAAATCAGTCAGGGCATGGTGGCATGTGCTTGTAGTCCCAGCTACTCAGGAGGCCGACACAGGAGAATTGCTTGAGCCCAGGAGTTTGAGGTTGCATGAGCTATGATGATGCCACTGCACACTAGCTCAGGCAACAGAGCGAGACCCTGTCTCAAAATAATTAATTAATTAATTAAGACAATTTTAAAATGAAGGAATTAATTTCTAGCTTTAGCAAAAATTGTGCATTAGGAAAAAAACACAAAAATTATACATTAGATATCCTTTAAAGGAGCACAGAAAGAATTAAAAAGGACCTTGGAGATCATCTATGTCATTTACCTCCTCATTTTATAGGTGAGGAAACAGAAGTCAAGAGGACGAGGAGTCTTGCTCTGAGTCCCACAGGCATCGAAGGCAACCCTGGGACAGGCTCCGAGGCCACCTCCCACACTTGCTTGGGTTCTACTTGCCACATTATGCACAGTCTCTCTCAGATGACAGCAGCTCCCCTGGCACACTTAAAATATGATGTGATTTCTAAAATTTTCTGTGGCAGAGACTACTAGTTGCCTACCCCAACATGCCCCCTCCCCCCTCCTAACACAATTCTATTTGGAGGGCACAGTGCCAGGCAAAGGCCAGCACATCTCCCCTCCCTTGCAGTGGCTGGGGCCATGTACCCGATTGCTGGCCAAGGAGATGGGGGCCGGAATTAAAGGGAGAAAGCCTACCCTTCCTCACCCCCTCTCCCTCCTCTGCTCATGCTCCAAGAGCCACAGCCCAATCTAAGGATGGTGGACTCCCTTAAGGCCATGACAGAGAGCTGGAAGGAGTCAGGGCCTCTGATGGCCATGGGACTGCCCCCCCAGCCCAGGTCTGCCTACTCCAGGTTTGTTTATATGACAGCAAAATAAACTTCTGTGCTGCTTAAGCACTGCAACTTTGGGCTTGTCTCTTATATGCAGCAAACTTTATTCTAGTTGACAGAACTATATTCAAACATATCCATTAGGTAAGTGAGAAACGCCTGAATGTTTCCAATATTTTTAATTAACTTGATTTGAACCACACAAAGCAGTAAAAATCTACTTTGGGTTTCAAGAATAAAAGAGAAGTTCTCACCTGCAAGGATGTTTTGCTCATCAGCCCTCTTCCTGTACCTAGGAAAGCAAAGATGGAAAAAGGTAAATTCTACAATATCTTCAAGGTCATAGAGATACCATTTTGGTTTTTTCCTTTTTCTCTTAATCTTGCACTACTTTGAGCATTTTATTACCAAATACAAAAAAAAAAGCCTACAAATGTTATGTGTCGGCCCCAACATAGTTTATTCCTGGATTACTTACAGCAGCAACGTAATCCAGCAGCATCTACCACACACAGCACCAAGGCTTCACACATGTGGAATTTAAGGAACACGGACTATTCTATTTCTTCTCCAGACAACCATCAAAGACTTACAAGTCTGTTTCTGCCTTTTTCCCCCAAACTTATGCCCAGATCATCTTCCCAAATTCTAAGTTTCAAAGAAGCCCTACTCACAGGTCGCTTCAACATTCATCTGATACTAATACCATTCTTCCTTTATGGAACATTTCCCTAGGGAGGGTCTTAATTCATTTTACTCGGTTTACCCATTGCCTCATTCCATCCCCTCGCCCTAGAAAGGGCTCCCGTGTTTCCTGCCACTCACGAAGGTTGGGGTGCCAAAAGAAGAAAGCAAAACACCCCTCAGAAGGGTCCAGGTGAGGCCGCTTTGGGCCCCGGAGACGGGGAAGGAGTGCTACTTCCCATTTCTGCGGGCAGAAACCATAGCCCCACGCCTGAAGGATCCATGCCACCACCTACCAGCCCAAGCCCCGCGTGCAAGACCTGCGGGCAGGGACCCAGGCAGTGAGGATGCAGAAGGCCAGGCCAGGCTGGGCTAGCCGGGCAGCCAGAACCGCTTTGCCCACCTGTGAGTAGCGCCCCTACTCTCTGTGCCCATGGTCGCCACCTCGAGATGTCATTTTGAATAAAAAGTGTGAATGACTTCAAAATAACACAGAGCTGAAGCTGGGTTTCTCTGTCTTTGATTCCCACAGGAAACCGAGAGGTCAGGAAACTATTCTGGAAAATGTCCTGACCTCATGTGGGTTTAAAATAATTGAAGGGCAAAGTCAGCTTCAGAGGTGAGATGTGAAGACCACCATGGACTTCACACAGATCTGCTGCTGGGCCTCTTTCAGGGGCCTTCAAGCTGGACCCTCTCCCCTGAAGCCTACCAACTAACAGTGGGGGCCCCATTCCTAATGCCCACCCGACCTACAAGCTGGACCCTCAGGCCTCTTATACCCACTATCACGCTCAGCTCGCTCCAGTAATGACCTTGAGACCCCTTTGACTGGCCAGTAAACCCCACTCAGGTCCCACAAAGCCTGCAGACTACATGCTCCCCCTCCGGTAACCCATTAGATGGGCTCTCCTCCACCGGGTGAGCTCAGCCGGGTAGACCCAGGGCCAGCTGCTCCCTGCCTCTGGCTGGCGCACAATCACCACGGCAACTTCACCAGCTCCACTGTTAATACCCCACCAACTTCCAGAAGTTTCTCCCTCCATGTCCAAGGCTCAGCTCCTGGAACAAAGTCAGACAGACACTAAAAGGATGCTCAGATGACAGTTTTTCTAGCAGACATAGGTATTATAGGACCATAAGAGGCCTATATTAATGTCTCCAAATTAATAGTTCTTGACTTTTTTTCTCTTAGCTGGAAGGGAGTATAACTAAGCAAAGGCAGTCCCTATAGATGACAACCGGGAAGCTCCTGGTTCATCGTGGGAATTCCTGCCTCAAGTCCTCAATCAGTTTTCTGGCAAGTTTGATTTGATAAGTCCTAATTCATCTCCCATCCAGGAGCATACTGTCTGCTCGTACACATCGTTCTAGTCTTAATAACTTATTTTATTTATTTTGTGCATCCCCTTGTGCAGTTAATCATCCTTGCGGACCAAAATCCCTCCCAGAATCAATTATTAATGGGGGGACTTTTTTCTATGTGGTCATCCTTCAAATGACCTGTTAATCTAAGTGGAAATCCCTCTCCAAACATATATATGAACAGAAACTGGCATATGGAATAAACCTAGAAGACACTTTGCCTATATTCCTACAATGTACAGTGTTCAATATCAAAAAACATATCATAGTAATCTGCATTTACTATCATATTTATGCTGAATATACCAGGCAAGGGAGAAGTGGCTATTAAGAGCTCATAAAAATAAGGCTTATTACCAACATGTCAAAGCCTTCAAACTTCTGCGATCACAAATCCACCTGGGAGGCCCAAACTTGGCTAGTGCTCTTGGTGGTGAACAAGACGCTGGGGTCAGTTCCCAAGGCATAAATTGGGTGAGAGCCTAAACACAGAATCCTGCTTGCAACTTAGGAGCCTTCCCTTGCCCCCTCCCCAAACTAAGATTAATGGCCCATAATTTTGTACATTTTGACTGAATCCCAAAAATGTTCCCTCCTATCATACGCTGAGAGCTAAAGCACTTACAGAAGGTTCCTTGTACCCAGAACTGTAAGCCGTGGGTTCAGACCACTGTCAAACCATTTTGCTTTAGCACCTCCATGGCCCTGAATCTGAGATTGGGGCCAAGGAAAGTTGTTCCCACTTTTAAAATTAGGAGCTCTTTACTGTTCCAAATTGTAAACAGATTACTTATTTTCAGGCATTCCACCTAAACCATTTGCCAAATCCTGCTCAATCATTTTAAACCTATCATTCGTAGGGCAAGGTGACACCCAAGAAGTAGGCAGGCCTTAGCCACAGCAAGTCCACTCCTGACACTATTTTCTCTTGATTATCTAGTAAGGAACTCCATATAGCATCATCTAAGAGTGTGGCTCTTACTGGACCATCTTTGACACACAAAAACAGAAAGTTAAACGTTCTGCTACAGGCTGACAATTATGGTTCTCAATCATAAACTAGGAGAGGCCCTAACAGAAATGGCTCGAATCAAGCATTTTAACCCAAAGTCATCATGTGCAACTGACTCATGGGGAACAACTTTACACACATCACCTCACTTGGCCAGGGGCACACATGGGGAAATCATCTATCCTGGGGGATATACAAGGAAGTTAATTTACTCAAAGGTAAATTACCTAATGGGTACTTGAGTGATCATTTTAATGACCAAGAGGAGCATTCAGTGGCATCTGCTTTAAATTTTCTGTAAGGTAAAATGTCTGCAGCCTGCCCTGTGATGTAGAACTTCAGGACCCAAATTTTCTAACTGTCCTACAGCAAGCCCCAAATCGTTTTGAAGAGCACCTCTGTCCTCCCTATGGAGTAGAGTGGCATTGTATGCAGGCACACACCCACAGCAAGCTGCCCAACTTCCATAAAAGAATGTTCCAGAAGAAAATGTTATCTAACCTCCAAAATAAGCCCTTCAATTTCCAGAACAAAATGTTAATCTACCTCAGCTCAGGTGACTGTTGAAGCCTACAGTTCTACAATTAACTGGCCACACAGAGGGCCCCTCCTCCAATACTTGGGGAGCACAGCCACAAACAGCTGAGGAGACAATATTTGCTGAAGCCTCCCTAAGGGTTCTTCTCCACAAGCCACACCACCAGAGAACAATCATCTCAAGTGGTTGTTTGGAAACCCCCCTCCCCCTTAGAAAACTAGTATTTTTATTCACTGGAGCCACAGGATAATCCCATTAGCCTGCAAGGTTGGAAAAATTTCATGAAACCACCATAGGGATGTTGTTGAACAAAGCAGTCACCACATTACACAAATACACAAATGTCTTTCCTATGAGGACCCAGCAAAGGCATTTCCCTCAGGTCTAAGGTCCAGGAATACCTGCATTTCTCCTGAGTGGACAACTCAGTTCTGTTTACAGAACACTCAGACGCAGGTCATCAACCACACCAATTGTATGAGCTGCTGGAAAGATGAATTAAGTTTGTAGCTCACCTCTGGCGAGTGCATAAGATTTCATAACCATGTCTTTTATGTGTTATCTTTGTTCTTGGCTTCACTGTATTCTCATTCTTTTTTTAATTTTTAATTTTATTTCATCATCTTGTCATTTCTCTCCACAAGCCGCTCTCATTTATTTTTACAAGGTGAAGTACAAGCAAACTGTATAGCTATGAGGCAGGAAGCCCAACACACAGCAATAGATGTGTTCCTGGAGAACACAGCCCACCTGCAAGAATCACCCCTGCTCTCCACAGGGCTTTCATATGAGAAAGGTCAAGAGAGCTGCATGCCAGATCTTACCTGGAAAACAAGCAGGCGTTAAGTTTGTATCTTCAAACTTCCTATCTTTCAGCCACTTCTTTAGCTCTATAAATTCATACTTGTAGCTCTCAGTCACTAATCAGGTGAGAAGAGAACAAATGGTGAGAACAAATCACTGCATAATCAGATCACCATTTTAAAAAAACATCTCTGATGAAGTATATCAGACAGACTTATGCAATGGTAAGTATCTGTGTATCTAAACATATCCAAACATAGAAAAGATACAGTAAAAATATGGTATTATAATCTTACAGGATCACTGTTGTATATGTGGTCCATCAACCAAAACATGATTATGTAGCACATGACTGTATTAATTCAATGCACTCCTCATCAAAATTCAAGCAGGCTTTTTTATAGGAGTTAACAAGCTAATTCTAAAATTCATGTGGAAATGCAAAAGACCTAGAATAGCCAAAATATCTTTGAAATGCTGATTTTAAAACATAAAGCTAGAATAATCAAATTAGTGTGATGTTGTCATCAAGACAGGCAAATAGGTCACTGGAACAGGATAGAAAATCAAAAGAGAGACCCAGATATGTATGAATGACTGATTTCTGACTAAGTGTAAAGGCAATTCAGTGGAGAAAAGATAGGATTTTCAATAAATGATGTTTGAACAATTGGATCTCGATAAGCAAAAAAAAACAAAAAGTACCCATATCTTGTACCATGTACAATTGCATTTATGTAGGGTTTTCCAGGTAGCTGCCAAGCACTTTCACATCCAGTATCTCATTTAGACTAGGTTACCCTGAATCTGAAGTGATAAATTTATATCCAAACATTGATATCCTACAGATAGCTAAAGGTCAAGACCAGAGAAAGAAACCTGGGAGTTATCACCAAAGAAGACAGTTGAAGCAATGAGTTAAATATATTTACATTCCCACCAGGATTTAAAAGAACATAATGGCACCATTAAAGAGATCATTCTTTAAGAAATATTCTCTTTGAGAAAATCTATATGTACAGACACACACTAATCACCAAAGAATTTCTTTTTTCATCACTGGTACTAAAGGAAACAAAACTGTACCTCCTCTTGATTCAGAACTTCTGAAGAGTTTTCGTCTTCTGATCCGGCTTGTTCTCCCTCTTCTCTTATGCATATTCAAACTGTAGTTTCTGTGTAGATACCCAATCTAAAATAAAAAGCATTTCTTTGCCTTACTTTCCAGTTATATGATAATCACTGTTCCTTGTACCTTTAAAATATACAAATGTATATTTTGATAAATCATTTTTCTAAAGTATTTTTGTACAGGAAAGGTTTATACTGTGAGCTAAAGCATGACCCCTGCACTAATGGAATGCCCATTATATTGGTCCCTCTAAAACAGTTTTATCTTGAGGACCTAGTGAATACTGATTAATCATGGAAATCTTCATCACTAATTTCATAAACATGTGCTTTAGTCACTTACACATCTCAATCCTAATCAATATTTACTAAAGCATCAATTTAAATTAACTATACTTAGAATAAATGGTAGCCACAAAGCCCCCATCAGCTAGGAAGTCTTAGAGAAAAAAAAAAACAAAACACCTTTCAGTGTGAAGTAAACAGTGGTTTGTTCTTAGATACCAGGATCCTGAAATAAATACAGTCTACTGTAATTAAATAGGTGTTTGCAAATGATTAGGGAGAGAATTAAAGCCAAAAACCAGACAAATCTAAGAGATGATCATTAGACCTAAAATGGCTAGTAGTTTCCACATGCTACTTCCTTGGAAGCATAAAAAATGAAATCCATTAAACACACCAGCTTGAGCATTATACAGGCAATGGAGTGGAGCCATTAATAAGAATAACAGGAATTAGTGCAGCCATTAATAGGAAGATGTGTGCTAAGATGTAAAAATATCCAAGACATATTAAGAGAAAAAAATAAAGTTTCAGAACATTATAAATTAAATGATCCCTTTTGGGTTTGCTTTTGAGCACGTTTTATATGTTTATAAACCAAGAGGATTTAAGGAAGGATATTCAAAAGCATGCTAGGGCAATGGAATACTACTGAGCCATAAAAAAGAATGAAATGTCATCATTTGCAGCAGCACTGGATGGAACTGGAGGTCAATCAATGTGTTAAATGAAATAAGCCAGGGACAGAGGGACAAATATTGCATGTTCTCACTCTTACATGGATGCTAAAAAAGTTGACCTCGTATAGGTAGAGAATAGAATACCAGAGGCTGAAAAGGTGGTTGGATGGGGGGAGATAAAGACAAGTGGATTGATGGGTGCAAACATACAGTTTCCTTCCTTATACGGAAGGAGTAAGTTCTCAGGTTCCATAACAAAGTAGGGTGATTATAGTTAATGTATTGTATATTGCAAAAATAGCTGGAAGAGAAGACTTGAAATGTTCCCAACATACAGAAATGATAAATATTCAAGGTCATGGATAGCCCAATACCTTGATCATTACAATCTATGCTTGTAACAAATTATCACACGTACTCCCATAAATATGTTCGAATACTGGCATGAATTTTAAAAAGTGCTAAGGGAGGTGATACTATTACTTTTGTATCCCCCTACACTGTGACTTATGTATGTATGAATACCTAAGTGACGTAATATGAATATTAAATGAATACATGTGCATTTTAACAATGTAACTAGTTTTAAAATCTACTCCTAAAAAACACCAGGACAGAAATGAGTTAAGAGACAAAAACTCCAGGTAGTATGAATGCCCCACTTCAGCAGTGGAAGGTTCATTGCTTGATCTACCGAAAGCTGGCGAGTCTGGTTCCAGAGCCCAGCGCGGCGTGTCCCCTCCCGAGTCTGGTTCCAGAGCCCAGCACTCTGTCCGCACAGAAGCGGGAAGCCCCGACCCAGACACCCGCCCCGAGCGGGAGCTTCCCACCGGCGCCCTGGTGACTGTCACGTGGAAACCGGATGACAGCCACAACTACGGGCACCATCCTCGCTCCCACAGTCCTCAAACCCTATACGCGAGGCCACCCTACTGAACCGACACACACCGCTCCCGCAGCCACAATGCAGCCAAGAAAGCGTCAGACCCCGGGCCTTGGGCTATTTCGCCTCTCCCAGGACGCCTGAGCAATATTCGCTAACTGGACGATCTCCAAACTATGGGAAGTTACTGTAGTACACAGGATAATGCCAGATCTGGTGGGGACTCTGCAAGACGAACTCAGTTCTCCTTTTTATACTGATGAATAAAAAACTAAGGAAATCTACAGCACAACTCTGCACCCGTTACCGGGGCAACGGAGGTCCCGACCCGGAAGTGCTCCGGACTCACGTCGACTCCGGTGCCCACCCAAAGATGGCGGCAGCAGTAGAGGGGCCCAAGGCTCGTAGAAACCCGAGACGCTGGCCCAGACGAACGCAAGTTTAAGAAGTGGGCCGAAGGTGCAGAGGGAGAGGCTGAGCGCCGTCAGGCCCGCATCGAGTCCTTAAGCAACCCGAGTTCTCAGTCACCTGCGCGAGCCTCCGCTATTTCTGCCGCGGGCCGCTTCCTCCCAGCACGCACATGCGCGGAGTGCGCGGACTTACTACCGACGTCAAATCCCGCGGAAGGCGGGGTCCTTCCAACCCTCCACCCCGACATCAGCCACCCTGCTCCTGGGCCAAGAAAACCCTGTGGCTCGCGGACAGGCTAGCTGCGCTGTGAAGAGCCGGCATGTGGAGTCTTTCGTTAGGAAGTTAGTAAGAGTAAGACCAACCACCTAGGGCGCCCGACCCCGGCCGGCCCCCAGGACGGCGCCTCGCCTGCCCCCGGGCCTAGCCGCTCTGGCGCGCCTCCCCCCATCCCCCACACCTCCGCCACCAGGCTGGCTTTGCCCCGTCCTGCCCTTCTGCTTGACCATCCCCGCCCTATTTCATCATTTCTGGCCTGGCCCAGGACCTGCCTTATAAGAAAATTCTAACTAATTCATGTAAATACGTGTTCCGGGAGAAGGAGCTCAATTTCTGCCCCCACAGCCCCCACCTTGATTATGGACTGGTGACTTGATTCCCAAGACTACAGTATGGAGGAAGAGTGGGAAGTAACTTTACAGTGGAGAAACCTGGTATATGCTATCTTGGCCGAGTGGTCATGGGTAACATCAGAAATAAACATGATGACAGCATGTTCCTGTGGTATTCCTACCCAAAACCCAGAACCCCAGTTCTTCCATTAAAAAAAAAAAAATCAGGCAAACTCCAAAACAACTGACCAGTACTCCTAAAACATTTTCTGTCAATGAAAAACAAGTACAGTCGTGTCTTGGTATATGCAGGGGATTGGTTCCAGGCCACCACCAACCCCCGATACTAAACTCTATGGATGCTCAAGTCCCTTGTATAAAATGGTGTCAACCTAACTAGCAGCTAAAATAGTAGCTCTCTAAAAATATTTATTTGGGAGTAGCGTTGCAATGGAAATACGAGTGCCATAGTGAACTGTGTTGGGGGGGTTGAGGCAAGGGGAAGTTTCTAAAGGCAAAACAGGATTGCAGAAATTGCTTGGAATCAATTATCCTTGGCTACATGGATCAATAACCAGGGTAATGCCAGTCCAAGGTTGAACAGACAGTTGCTGGACAGATAGTGCTGCAGAAGTATTTTCTGTGGCGTTTGTGCAGGGTTGTGGTTTGCAGTCTTATGTGATCCTTCTTGTTATCAGGTATACATGAATGAGAACCCTCCCTTCATGACCTTCCCTGGCTCTTTTTTTTTTTTGAGACAGAGTCTCACTATGTTGCCCCGGCTAGAGTGCCATGGCGTCATCCTAGCTCACAGCAACCTCAAACTCCTGGGCTCAAGCAATCCTTCTGCCTCAGCCTCCCGAGTAGCTGGGACTACAGGCATGCGCCACCATGCCTGGCTCATTTTTTTCTATATATTTTTAGTTGTCCAATTAATTTCTTTCTATTTTTGGTAGAGACGGGGTCTCGCTCTTGCTCAGGCTGGTTTCAAACTCCTGAGCTCAAACAATCCGCCCGCCTCGGCCTCCCAGAGAGCTAGGATTACAGGCGTGAGCCACCACGCCTGGCCTTCTCTGGCTCTTTTTGTCAGGGTTATAACACAAATACTTCATTTTCATTCTGATAACATTCACAATGCTATAGTATTTTCATATAATATAGGCACATACTCCCAAGTAGTTTAAATCATCTCTAGTTTATTTACAATAACTAATACAATGTAAATGGCTGTTGTATAGTTTTTCTTATTTGTATTTGTTTATTGTTATATTCTTATTTTTTATTTTGTTTTTCTGAATATTTGCAATTCTTGGCCAGTTGAATCCCCACATGCAGAACCCAAAGATGTGGAGGGCCAAGTGTAAACTCTGACAAGCTGTCCTAAACCAGAGGAAACTAGAGTCATGACAACTAAAGGTAATGTAGTAGTCTGGGGAGGATCCTGGAATAGAAAAGGATATTTGAAGAAAAACTAATGGAATCTGAATAAAGTGTGGAGCTTAGTCAATAAGAGTGTTCCAGTGTTGGTTTTTAGTTGAGACGATGTACCATAGTAGAAAGATGTTAATAATAGGAGAATCTGGGTGAGAGGTATACAGGAATTCTCTGCAGTGCATTTGTAACTTTTCAGTAAATCCAACTATTCTGAAATTAAAAGTTTTGTGTTTTTTTGAATAAAGGAGTGTAGGGTGTTGGACATAGATGGTTATAGATTGAGAATTATTAAATTAAACTTTGGCACTTTAAAATTTTAAAGGTTTATTTGAGCAGACAGATTCATGCATCAGGCAGCTCCACACCGTAAGTGCTTCAGGTCTCCTCCAAAGGGGCATAAACAGAAGGATTTTATAGTGTGAATGCAGAAGTAAAGCAAAGAAATTCCTGCTTGGTTAAAGTTAGAACAGTTGCCATATTTGAACTATTCCTAGGAGAAGTTCAAGACAAGTAACACGCAGTTAACCACCTGTGATTGGCTGAGCTTCAGCTTCATTGTCTCTTAAATTCTGAGATACGTTTTGCTTTGCTTCTGTTGGAACCCACAGGATTAGAGTTACTTCCACCTAATGGCCTCCTATTTGTTTTAACAGATCCATGATTCAGTGATGCCATCAAAGGTTAACACTCTTTCTAACTTTCCACCTTACAGTCCTTAAGGATTTGGCTGTTTACCTTTTTGTTTGTTTCCTCATA